AGTTGCTGAAGGTGTCCTTGAAATTGAGATTCTCCTGGCACAGCTTCTTGAGTCACTAAGATTATAGGTTTGTGCCACTTTGACCAATGCCCTCCCACTCTTTGCTTTATAGTATTAGGGATTGAACCCTGAGTCACTGGGATTACAGGAGTGCACCACCATACGTGGCCGAGACTGGGTAATTTATGATGAATGGTAGTCTATCATGGTTATGGAGGCTGGGAAATCCAAGAACAAGACATTGGTATATGCTTAGTATCTGCAAGGGCTTGCTGCTTCATCATAATATAGACATCATAGGACAAGTCAGAGCAAATGTGCTAGTTTTGGGTCTCTCTTCCTCTTCTTGTAAAGCTACCAATGCTATCATGGGCACCCTACTCTCATGACCTCATCTAATTTTTTTAAGTATTTATTTTTTTAGTTTTAGGTGGACACAATATATTTTATTTTTATGTGGTGTTGAGGATTGAATCCAGCGCCTTGCACATGTCAGGCGAGCGCAGTACTGCTTGAGCCACATCCCCAGCCCCTCATCTAATTTTTCCCCATTTTTTTTCGTGCGTTATAGTTGTACATAATGGTTGGATTTGTTGTTAGATATTCATAGGATATATAGACCTCATCTAATTACTGCCCAAAGGGCTCAGCTCTAAATACTATTAACATATGAATTTGGAGATTAAGTGTCCAACACATGAATTTGGGGGTAAATATATTCAAGACCATAGTACCTGATCTGTGGTAGTCTGCCATTGTAGCACAAACAAACTAACAGCAATGAAAGAGGAAAAAAATTGGTAAATAGACTTCATTAAAATCAAAAGTTAGTTCTTGGTTTGGTTTTGTGGTTTAGGCCTGTAATCTGAGACACTCCTGAGGCTGAGGCAGCAGGATCACAAATTTGAGGCCAGCCTTAGCAGCTTGGCAAGACCCTGTCTCAAAATAAAAAATGTAAAAAAGGGCTAGGCCGAGGCAAGAGGATAGCAAGTTCAAAGCCAGCCTCAGGAATTTAGCAAGGCCCTAGGTAATTTAGACCCTGTCTCAAAATAAAAAATAAAAAGGACTGGGGATGTGGTGCAGTGGTTAAGTGCCCCTGGGTTTATTTAATCCCTGGTACCAAAAAAATTAAATAAGTATATAAATAAGAAAAACAGCTGGGGATGTGGCTTAGTAATTAATTAAGCACCTCTGGGTTCAATCCCTAATACCAAAATAACAAAACAAAAACAAAAACAGACTGAGGGAGGCAGGCATGGTAGCACATGCCTGTAATCCCAGCAGCTCAGGAGGCTGAGGCAGGAGGATCAAAGCCAGCCTTAGCAATTTAGTGAGGCGCCAAGCAATTCAGTGAGACCCTGTCTCTAAATAAAATACAAAAAAGGACTGGGGATGTGGCTTAGTGGTAGTGATTGAGTGCCCTTTAGTTCAATCCTCTGTACCAGGAAAATAAACAAACAAACAAACAACAACAACAACAAAACCCCCAACAGACTGAGATATAGCTCAGGATTAGAATCCTTGGTACAGAATAATAATAATAAAAATGTTCTGCTAGGTGTGGTGGCACATGCCTGTAATTCCAGCTGCTTGGGAGGCTGAGGCTGGAGGATCACCAGCCTCAAAGCCAGTCTCATCAAGTGAGGTGCTAAGCAATTCAGTAAGACTCTAAATAAAATACAAAATAGGGCTGGGAATATGGCTCAGTAGTTGAGTGTCCCCATCTCCTGAGTTCAATCCCTAGTACAAAACAAAAGTGGGAGGGGTAGGGGTTGTAGCTCAGTAGTAGACCACTTGCCTGGCATGTGTGAGGCACTGGGTTAGATTCTCAGCACCACATATAAATAAATAAATAAAGGTTCATGGGCAACTAAAAAAATAAAAATTAAAAAAAAAGAAGACATTTTTTGGCTCAGTGGTTGAGTGTTCCTGTGTCTAATCCTTGAAACAAAAACAAAACAAAACAAAGCAGCTCAACATCATTAGTCAATAACACATTTTGGTGAGGACGTGGAAAACCTGGAACACTTGGCAGGGTGTGGGGGCTCACACCTATATTTCCAAGTGCTTGGGAGGCTGAGGCAGGAGGATCACAAGTTCAAGGCCAGCTGGGGCAATTTAGGAAGACCATCTAAAATAAAAAAATAAAAGGGGCTGGGAATGTAACTCAGTGGTAGAGTGTCCTTGGGGGTTTTTATATGTGAGCATGGTGGCAAATACCTGTAATCCCAGTGGCTTCGGCTCAGGAGGAGGGTAGGAGGATCCGAAGTTCAAAGCCTCAGCAATTTACTGAGGCCCTAAGCAACTCAGGGAGGCTCTGTCTCTAAATACAGAAAATGGTTGGGGATGTGGCTCAATGGTTAATTCCCCCTGGGTTTAATCCCCAGTACCAAAACCAAAACATAACAAAAAACCCCCAGCTTTAAGTTTATGAAAAACATAACCACTGAGGCTGGGGATATAGCTCAGTTGGCTGAGCGCTTGCCTAGCATGCACAAGGCCCTGGGTTCAATCCCCAGCACCACCAAAAAAAAAAGGACATTTGCTGGGCGCAGTGGTACGTGCCTTTAATCCCAGTGGCTTGGGAGACTGAGGCAGGAGGATGGTGAGTTCAAAGCTAGCCTCAGCAAAAGGAAGGAGGATGTGAAGTTCAAAGCAACCTCAGCAATTTACTGAGGCCCTAAGCAACTCCATCTATAAATAAAAATACAAAATAGAGCTGGGGATGTGGCTCAGTGGTTGAATGTCCCCGAGTTCAACCCCCATACCAAAAAAAAAAAAAAAAAAAAAAAAAAAAAAAAAAAAAAAAAAAAAAAATCCACTGAAATTAGCAACTATAGCCTGTTTGGTGGAGAGATTAAAGCCAGACTAGACTGGAGAGGGAAATGAATAGAGCTACATATATCATTATAGGTAAATCTTGGAAACAAAAGCCAATACTTGCAAAATACTTGAAAGTTGCAGAACCTGGGCCTGAATTTGCAATCCCCCATTCTCATTTCAGCCTCTTGAGTAGCTGGGATCACTTACTACTATGTAAATTTATTAAAAGCATCACTTCATGCCCAGGAATTATAAATACCAGTTGATAGCTGGTATTCTTGAGAAAAATAACACTAAGGGCACATAGATCTTTATAATGACCAATTTCCTCATCGCCCCCCCCCCCCCAAAAAAAGCTAAGGTCAAGGTACTCAGGGTCTCAGGCATACTGAGCATGCACTTTACACTTGAGTTCCATTCCCAGCCCTGCTTTTCAGCTGATTCAAGAAGTAATAAAGCCAGAAACCAGATGAGGTCTGTCTCCCATGGTGTCCTGTCTAACACTGGCTACCCTGACCCCTGCTTTCCCTGCTGCCCACCAAGGGCTTAATAAGGCTAGGTCAGTCCCACATGGGAGACAGGTTAGTCTTTGTCAGACTCAATCTGCTGATACATGATAGGGTTTGAACTGCTGTCCCTTGTTAAGGGCAGACTCTCTCTCATTGCTATCCAGGCGTGTGCTGCCACCTGGACCTCCAGCTCCTCTGTCCATCTTCCCTGGAGAAGCCTGAGCCAAGTGTGACAAGCTTTTCAGCACTACCCCTGGGTTCAGCCAGTCACTTCCTCTCTCTACAGCAAACACCATCTCCACCATCTTAGCCTACAAGAACCAGCCTGAGGGGGCTGGGAGAAAAAAATTGACACAGTGAGCAAGGAACAGCTTCTAGCCAGAAACCCCTGCTCTGAGAGCCCATCTTTCCCACTGATGGCTTTCAGCTTGACCCTTCCTTCTCCCATGGGGGCAGAATTCTGAGCCCAAATGACGGATCTTTCCCTCCGTTTCACATTGCTAATAATGGATGTTAATCTTGAATCCTTCAGCATCTTTTCCATTGAATTAGAATGGCTTTCTCATAGTTTATTTCAGAAAGATGTCCAATATACTAAAGAAAAGTAATTGAAGAAATTAGTGAATGGTAGAAAAACTGGGCAATTAGTACCTCCAGATGGGAATAATACCATTAAACACTAGTAGCATTTTTGGCACAAGAATGAATTGAACCAGCTATTTCTCTTAAGTCTAAATTTCTTACAATCATTCTGACAGTCCAACTCACTTTATTATTTTTGGGATTCCCATATAGGTCTACTTATAAAAACTTATGTATTTATAAGCAAATTCTTTTTACCTTCCAGTTTGCTCACAACAGTCTACCTTTGTGTGCTTAATGTTTGCTCTGTAGTCAAAATCCTCCCCTTCAGCTGGATGTTGTGGCACATGCCTATAATCTTGATATTTGGGAGGCTGAAGTAGAAGGATCTCCAGGTCAAGTCCTGCCTCAGCAATTTAGGCAGATACTCTCAAAAAGGGATTGGGATGGAGCTCAGTGATACAGCATCTCTAGGTTCAACTCTAAGTATTATCCCAGTATGATACGTGGGGTGGTGGTGGTGGATCTGCTAATGATTAACAACTGAGGAAGAAATTAGAAGTGAAAAACTTTCACAGTTAATTTGTCTTCTTTGAAGATGCAGGTCCTAATGGCATATATATATATATTTTTTGTTATTACACTAGATGTGAAGCTGTTTTATACATCCACAATGCATGGGCTAGCCCTTCTAGAACTTATTTGAAATAGGGTCTTGCCAAATTAAATTGCCCAGGCTGAACTTGTGACACTCCCGCCTTAGCCTCCCAAGTTGCTGGAATTATAGATAGATGTGTACCACCATAACTTCTTACAAGAGGTAGAGAGTTTGAGATTTTAAGTAGGGAATTATGGCATGAAAAATTTTCACCTGAAGATGGTCTTAAAATTAATAAATTATGGGGATGTGGTTGTAGTTCAGTGGTAGAGCACTTGCTTAGCATGTGTGAATACTGGGTTCGATCCTCGATACCACATAAAAACAAATAAAGGTATTAAAAAATACAATAACATTACAAAATTAATAATTTACTAGAGCCTTTTTGGGCGGAGGAGATGGGGGAAAAGAGACCAAACACTCATTGATTCATCCAACAAGAAGCCATAACTTTATTAATGATAGAAACAGTACAAATTTCAAACCAAGCTGCAGTTATCCTTTTGAAAGACCAGAAAAAGGTCCTGGCTTTCAGATGGTTACATTGTTAATTCCTATAAGAGAAAAAACATAAGGTGGTTACAGGCAAAGTAGGAGAAGATGGTTATTAAAACCTAAGGCAATTAACAATAGGATTTGGAATAATGCTTTATATATAGCCGATACTAAACAGAGAAAAATTACTTTTCACTGGTTAGGGCAGAGGGAAACCAGGAAAAAAGACTTGGTCACTTACCATTATAGCATTTACAATATCATTACTGTTGTTCTTTAGGGCTCGGACCGCCTTTGCTCTTGACACATTTGCTTGTGACATGACCAATTCTATATCCTTAACTTCCACACCAGTTTCATCAACCTAAAAGAGGAGAGGAGAAAACAAAAAAACCTTAATAAATTACAGATAACAACAACTTAGTACTTCTTTGGTGCCAGAGTCCCTTGAATTTAGTTCTGGGTGTAAACAGGTATAAATAATGGGGGTTGAATGCCTAAAACAATAATTTACCAACAGCAAACATACCACTATTCAGAGAGGATTACAAATAGAAAAGATTTCCTGGCATACCTCTTCCTCTTCACTTTCTTCTTGTACAGTTGGAGTCTGTGTGTTTTCTTGAATGTTTGAGACAGCTTCACCTTGAACTTTGAATTTCTCAGCAGCTGCTAACTGTGCTTGCTGAGATAAATCTTCAATCTACAAAGAAAGACAACAGAGATGTCAATAAATTAGTTTGCCATAAATGAAAAATCACATATCCTTTTGACACCTTTTCAATACTCTCATTCTAAATCTATTTCAGGGAAGTTAGAGTAATATAACTGTAAACTGCTTGCCCTAAGACTATAACTGTAGAAAGAAAAGTAGTTTAGGTCTAGGTCTTAATTATGCCTCCCAGGGGACATCTGGAAATGTCTAGATCAAAGAATTATCTGACCTGAAATATCAACAGAGTTGATCGAGTGCAACTCAAGAAAACTTAACTCACCTTGGCTTCCCCAAAAACTATGTAGGTATCTGAAGCTGGACTCTTATAGACATCTGGTTTTGTGATGACAAAGAGGATATTCTTAGATTTTCGGATAGTGACTCTAGTAACCCCCGTAACCTGTCGAAGACCTAGCTTGGACATAGCCTGAAAAATAGAAAAGAACATTAAAATTTCAACTTTAGAATCAGCTTCATAAAGCAAGAAATGCAACAATACCACATCCAAAGCAGACTCATGGGTTAAGAAAAGGGCAGGCGCCGTGGTGTGCACCAGTAATCCTAGTGGCTCAGGAGGCTGAGGCTGAGGCTCTAAGCAACTCCGTCTCTATTAATACAAAAAAGAGCTGGGGATATGGCTCAGTGGTTAAGTGTCCCTGGGTTCCAACCCAAGTTAAAAAAAAAAGAAAAGACGGTGTTCTAAAAAATTACACATCAGAACTTTAATCCTTGTTTATAACTGAACATCTTACCTTCCGTGCCTTCTTTTCACTCCGACTCTGTTTTGCTTTACTGACTGGTTCTTCATCGATTTCAGCTGCAGCTGCCAGCTATAAAGATAAAACAACTAAATTAAATAGAACTCTAAGATCTGGATACCACAACCTCTGTGTGATTTTCCCTTTATGAAGACCCATAATTCCAGATACAATAGTCAGCCCTGATCAATTCTGGTTCTCCAGTGCTTCCTTGACTCCAGTGTTTATACCAGTCAAGAAGGGAATACTCACCTGTGCTTGTTGGGTGGTTGCTTGTGTGGAATCTTGTTCTTCAAGCTCTGGTACAGATTCATCACTGTCAGATTCTGTTCCAGAACCTAAGATGACAAACAACTTTTATTACTTTTATAGTAAAAATTTTAAGGAGGTTGTACCTCACACTAAGGCCTGCTTGGACTAGAGGTCACCACTTTAATGCTAGGCCTTACAAAGTGAAATGTTTAAAGCCAGTTTGGGAGCCAACTTACTAGTTAAACTACTGTGTACACATCTATTAAAGACCCACCCCCAGAAATGAGGGATAATTGAAAGATACAATTTATATAGTATAATTATTCTCTTTCTCTTAAGGTCTTCATTTCTTGGCACAAACAACCAAGCATCCTAAATAACTCCAAATTTTACCCTATATTCCATCTACCATCCACCCCAGAAAGGTTTTGTCTAAAGGGATCTCCACACACACTTAAGTGGGGGGAAAAGAATAAAAAATAAATAAATCACATTATGCAGGGAGAAAAGGCAAGGCACTTTTCCTTTATCCTTTAAACCTATGGAGGAGGCCAGAAGCAGCTGTGTACACACATTTGGCCTATTTTCAAATCATTCACCCTAGTAATTTGGTCTAATCAATATTGCTAGAAGATTTTCAATGATGCCAAGCCACCTTCTCTACTAGATATTGCCCTGTAATGTCTCCATTTCTTCTGAACATAATTCACATATTGAAAGGCCCAGCATCGATAAAGACTACCAAGGGAAAAAAGCAATATACCTGCACCATTCTTAGGCTAGGAAACATAGTTATCTATTTTTTGAAGAAAAGCAAGTCCTTGGGCAAGTGGTCATTACTAAGAAATAAAAAGAAATACAATAGCTCCAATTTTCCCAATATTTTAGCAAATCCCAGGCCCAGGGACAGGTTAGTGATGTGATAAGGATTAGAGCAAATTAACGGTCCAGCAGGTCTTGGTTTCCAATGTCAGATCAGTTGTATTATCTGACGTGATGAAAACCAAGAATTAGTTGTGTATTCCTAGAGCTTTTGCACTTGAAAGGATCATTCTAAGTACTACATCCAAACTCAAGCAGATTTACTGGAGGAAGTGGCGCATCCTAGTGTTAGTATCGATGGGAGTTCCTAAGAGGGGTGTGGGCAACACACCATGCACACAGCAAACCAAGGCAAATACCCTTGTTGTTCTTCAGAACAGGTTGCTTGGCAGAGGGGGTTGGGGCAGGGATCCCAGCAGGTTTGGGGGTGGGCATGTCGACAAGGATGGACTGGAAAGGCACTCCCCCAGATATTGGTTCCGGGGGAATCAGAGGCGGCAGCTCATCCTCATCATCAGGGGCTGGGGGCTTAGAGGGTGATTCCAGCACGAGCCCAGGTGAGGTCGGCAGAAACTGTTGTTTAGGAAGCAGAGGGGGAACTGGGGAAGGAGCAAGAGGCAGGGAGACTGGTGGGGTGGTTGCTGGAGACACAGATGTTGATCCAGCTATAGGAAGGACCTTCTCAGAGGCAACTCCTGCTAGAGGGGTAGATATCTTAGATTCAGGGGAATGAAAAGGATCTTTGCTTTTTGCAGGAGAAACAGGGATTGTCAGTAGAGGAGCTGGTGTCACTGTAGAAAGGGGTCCTTTAGTATCATTCTTAGTTGAGGGATCTGAGCACTTAGGCAAAGCTGCAGAATTCTTCTTGGTTCCTGGGCCTTTCTGAGTGGGAACTGTGGTGACTTGTTCATTTTCTGGAGCTGAGGCCACAAGTACTTCTTTGAGAGCCTTGGGACCTTTCTTTGCTGGGACACCTTCAGATGCCTCAGGGGTAACGGCCCCCATGGTACATATTACTGACACTGGGGAAGCAGGGGAGCCTTTGGGGGAGGGAGGAACAATGCCTGGGAGAATGGGGGACTCTTTAGGGAAAACATTCACAGCTTGCAGAGTGGGACTGCCTTTGGAGGATGGGGTAGTTAGGGCCTCTTTGGGAGAGGGAGAAGTGACAGGTGGGGGAATGGAGGCCCCTTTGGGGGCTAGGGTCTCTTTGGGAGAGGGAGAAGTGACAGGTGTGGGAATAGAGGCCCCTTTGGGGGCTGGGGCCTTTTTAGGAGGGGGAATAGTGTCTGGAGGAGTGGGAGTTCCTTTGGGGGCTGTGGTTGCTGGGCCCTTTATGGGAGAGGAGATTGCTGTAGCCTCTTTGGGGGCTGCAGTTGCTGGGGCCTTTTTGGAAGAGGGAGGAGTGTCCACTGGAGGAGTGGGGACCCCTTTAAGGGATGAGGTTGTTTGGGCATCTTTGGGGGCTGTACTTGCTGGGGGTTTTCTGGGAGAGGGAGGAGTCACAACAGGAGTAATAGAGGCCTCTTTGGGTGCTGTAGTTGCTGTGGCTTTTTTGGGAGAGGGGGCCCCCTTGGAGAATGGGGTTGCAGGGGCCTCTTTGGGTGCTGCAGTTGCTGGGGCCTTTTTGGGAGAGGGAGGAGTGTCAGCTAGAGGAATGGGGGCCCCTTTTGGGGATGGAATTGGTGACTTTTTTGGAGGAGTCATAGCTGGGGTGGTGGGGAGCCCTTTGAGTAATGGGATTGCTGAAGCCTCTTTGGGGGAAGAAGTCACAACTGTGGGAGCCAGAACCCCTTCGGTGGATGGGGTTACTGTAGCCTCTTTGGGGGCTTTACTTGTCGGGGCCTTTTTTGGGGAGGGAAGAGTCTCAGCTGGGGACCCTTTGGGGGATGAGGTTGTTGGTAACTTTTTGGAGGGACTTGGTGCCTTTTTTGTTGTGGGAGTCACAGCTGAGGAAGTGGGGACCTCTTTGGGGACTGTATTTGCTGGGGTCTTTTTGGGAGAGGGAGGAGTCACAGTTGGGGGAGTGGGGGCCCCTTTGGGGGACAGAGTTACTGTAGTCTCTTTGGGAGAAGGAGGAATCTCATCTGGGGTCCCTTTGGAGGCTGTATTTGCTGGGGCCTTTTTGGGAGAGGGAGGCATCACAGCTGGAGGAGTGCAGATCCCTTTGGGGGATGGAGCTGCTGATGCCTTTTGTGGGGAGAGGGGAGTCACAGTTGGAGGGCTGGGAACCTCTTTTGGGGCTATATTTGCTGGGGCCTTTTTGGGAGAGGGAGGAGTCACAGCTGGTGGAATGGAGACCCCTTTGGGGGCTGTACTTGTTGGGACTTTTTTGGGAGAGGTAGGAATCACAGCTGGGGAAGTGGGGGCCCCTTTGGGGGATGGAACTGCTGGTGCCTTTTTGGGAGAGGTGGGAGTCACAGCTGTGGGACTGGGGACCTCAGTGGGAGATATATTTGCTGGGGCCTTTTTGGGAGAGGGAGGAGTCCCAGCTGGGGGAATGGGGACCACTTTGGGGGACAGAGTTGTTGGTGCTTTTTTTGAGGAGAGAGTCCCAGCTGGAGGAGTGGGGACCCCTTTGGGGGATGGGGTTACTGTGACCTCTTTAGGGGTTGTACTCGTGGGGGCCTTTTTGGGAGAGGGAGGAGGAGTCACAGCTGGGAAAGTGGGGACCCCTTTGGGGGATGGGGTTACTGTGGCCTCTTTAGGGGCTGTATTTGTTGAGGCCTTTTTGGGAGAGGGAGGAGGAGTCACAGCTGGGGGAGTGAGGACCTCTTTGGGGGATGGGGTTACTGTTGCCTCTTTAGGGGATGGAATTGTTGGGGTCTTTTGGGTGGAGGAAGGAGTCTCTTCTGGGGTCCCTTTGGTGGATGAAATTGTTGGTGCCTTTTTTGGGGAGAGAGGAGTTACAGGTGGGGGAGTGGAGACTCCTTTGGGGGATAGGGTCTTTTTTTTGTGGTGAGGAGCCACAGCTGGGGCAGTGGGGGCCTCAATGGGAGAGGGAGCATCAGCTAGCAGGGCAGGGGACCCTTTGGAAGATGGAGCTGGTGTACTTTTTGGGGAAAGAGTAACAGCTGGGACAGTTGTTGCTACCTTTTTTGGGGAGGAGGGAGGAGTCTTAGCTGGGACAGTGGGGACCCCACTAGGGGCTATGGTTACTGGGTCCTTTTGGGGGGAGGTAGGAATCTCAGCTGAGGTACTGGAAGTTTCTTTGAGGGATGGGCTTGCTGTGGTGGCTTCTTTGGGGGCTGTAGCTGTTGGAGACTTTTTTGGGGAAGGAGGAATCTCAGCTGGGGGGTTGGGGGTTCCCTTGGGGTTTGTAGCTGCTGGGGCCTTTTTGGAGGAGGTAGGAGCCACAGTTGGGGCAGTGGGGGTCCCTTTGGGAGATGGGCTTGCTGGGGTCTTTTGGACTGAGGAAGGAGTGACAACTGGGGGATTGGGAACTCCTTTCTGGGCCAGAGTTGCTTGTGGCTTTTTGGGAGAGGGAGAAGTCTCTGCTGGGGGAGTAGGAGTCCTTTTGGGGGTTGGGTCTGCTGGGGCCTTTTTGGGGGAGGGAAGAGGCACAGTTGTAGGAGTAGAGGCCCCTTTGGGAGTGGGAGAATGCTTCTTGGTTAGTGAACCTTTAGGGCCTTGAATAGATATATTGGCCTCTGGAAGGAAGGAAGCTTCAACTGGAGAAACAGAAGATGAGAGATTTCCAGCAGGAACATCAGGGATAGGAGAATCCTTCTTGATTAGAGTTCTTTTAGTCTGAGGAGACATACCAGTCCCTAAAGGAAATGCGGAGTCAGTTACAGAAGTCATGCTTCCTTTGGAAGATGTAGAATCACTGGGGTCCTCATTTGGGCACACAGGAGAGGAAACTAAAGGTGCCAATGATGAGGTCTGAGAAATACCATCAACTATCTCTGCCCTGGACAGAGCAATCCCAGCTGGGGGAAGGGGGGGAGAGGGCACAGACTTAGGAATTTCAGGAGTCAGCGTCAATGCTACTGTAGAAACAGAAACATTCTGAGGGGATAAAGTCATAGCTGGAGCCACAGGGCAACTTTCAGAGGCTGGAGAAACCAAAGGTAAAGTAGTTAGAGTACAAGTATCTTTGGCAGTTGTAGAAGCCACCCCCATATGGTCAGCACTTCCCAAAGGAAACGTAGCCACTGCTGGAGCAGTGATAGAACTTTTGAGAAGCAGAATATCAGGGTCTGGGCTTGTATAAGGATCTGTCTTGACTACAGAGGTCGAGGAGTTAACATCCAGAGAAGAGGCAATAGCACTGGCTGCCTTAGCTACAGGGAGAGGCTCTACACAGCTTTTCTTTGCTATAGTGGTTTCAGGAGAAATTATCTCCAAAGATGATGTACTTTGGGAGGAATTCTGGGGAGATGAGAGGGCCAAAGGTAATGAAGTGGGGCCTTCCTTGGTAGGGAGTCCTGTCTGGGTGGGAGATATAGGAGCTGGCAAAGGACAGACTGGTATGCTCACAGTAGTTGCTATCTGAGAAGTAGGAAGCTCTTTCTGAGCCACAGGTGACATAACCAAAGCAGCAAGGGAAGCTGGTTCTTTACTACTTATGGGACCTGATGAAACTGGAGGAGGCACAGAAGTAGGTACCTCAAAGGTAGTAGGTGCTGCAGAAATCATAGAGGGGTTAGTCATCAGAAGTGGGGTGGTTCCAACAGAAGACACAGAAGTTTCTTTAAAGTCTGTTCCTGGAGAAGCAAGAATTTGAGTCCCCAGAGGCTGATGAGTGGCATTAGGAGACTCTTTAAGACCGAGCAAGGCTGTAGGAGATAATGAAGTAGTGGTAGTTACAATTGGGGAGCCAGAAGGGTAGGAGGTTATGCCAGTCACTGTAGAGGGGCCTTTGTCAACAGACAGAGTTAGAGAAGAAGCTGGAGACCTTATTGGAAGAGCAGCCACAGTACCAGTAACCAGCTCATTTCCCAAAGGAAGGGGAGAAATCACAGATCTCTGAGATGGATAAGAGGTCCCCAAGGAAGAATGATCTAAAGAAATGGTATTCACTGCAGGATTTAACAGTGTACTAGGAACTGCTTGACCTAAAGGTTGGATAGAAGAACCCTGATGTAAAGGTGTAAGATGAGAGCCCAGAGAACTAGGGAAAACTGGTGGGATGCTAGGAGCCACAGTTTGAGAAGAGGTCACTGCAGGAGTAGACTGGGTTGAAAAAGATAAGGTAGAAGGTGAACTAACAGGCCCCTTCAGGCTGAAGCTTAATGGGCTTTGTGGGATCAGAGCTGAGGAAATGGGGATACTTTTACTCTGAGAAGTAATGGCTGGGGGAGTAATGCATGGTGTCAGAGCACAGGAGGTTACTCCAGATTGAACAGAGGCCAAGGGATTTCCAACATGGGAAGGAACAGCACTGATTATACCTGGAGGAGCTGAACTTGGAGTAGTAGCTTTTGGATTAGGGAGTACCTGAGAGGGAACCTGAATAGGAGAGGGTTTTGGTTCTGAGGGAGTAATGGGAGCTGGTAGAGATGTCACTGACCCTGACTCAGCCATAGCAACTGATGGAGGTGGGGCAACAGGGTTAGGTGGAAAAGCAGAACTCTTCTGAACTGAGTGGGGAGCCAATGCAACAAGGGCCAAGGGAGCTGAAGAGGAATGGGCACCTTTCAGAGTTGGCCCTATCATGGGAGAGGCCAGAGCTAAGGCAGCTGGGGAGATGGGAGGCCCTATTAGGTGCGGTAGGAAAGTTGGGGTGTTAGGGAGAGTTTCCAAAGGCATGGCAGTTCCAGAGGATGGCTGGGGAAAAGGAGCTTCAAAAGGGGTTGAAGCAATACTAGAGGGAGAAGGAAAAGGGGAAGGCTGGTTAGCAACTGCTAGAGGGCACTGTTGGGGGGCCAGGGAGCAAGGAGGGGTAAGGGTAGGTCTAGACTGCCCTAAGGCAGCAGTGACATTCAAGGGTGAAGGCATAGGAAGCACAGCTGGAGGAGAAAAGCAAAAAAAAAAAAAAAAGAGAGATAAAGGAGGAAAAGAAAAAAAAAGTGAGTTATGCAGCCCAATTTGGTACAACATGCCTCATAAGAAAAAATGGAATTTTAAATCTGAGAATGAAAGTCACCACACAGGATTAGACAACAGTGACAAGCAACACCCAAAGTTCCCCAAACATTTCAGTGGTAAAGTGAGAACACATTCTTCTACACATTCTAAGTTCTACCAAAATAAACCAAAAATTTCAGGATGGGGAAAATAGTTAAAAGTAGCCTATCGTTAAACACAAAGAACAGAGGCTCAGGAATGGATTGGGAACAATATACTTTCTATCCTTTCCCAGTTGTGCCTTTCCCTTTTCTCCTGAAATGAGACCTCATTTCCAAGTCTTTAAGCCAACAGAATTATCACTAGAACAGCTACCTGTCTACTCAAGGATCGTGAACTGAAACACTGAAAACTGGAATAAGGATGACAATAGGCAGACAGTTTAATGATGGGGAATCAGCTGAATGAGAAAAAGTCTTAACAAACAGACAACAACAACAACAAAAAACCCTCTAAAGTTTCCACTAGGCCATGAAAAATATCACTGTTTTCTTAGGAAGAGGGAGCTTCGCATAATTCAGTTCTATTCAAGTTGAAACTCTTCAGCCCCTTACCCCCTTATGTCTTAGTTTACTTAGCAAAACCAAAAAGAAAGCAAACAAAAACACCCAGCCACAAATAGGTTGCACTTCATATTCTACCCTTCCTCAGTAATGTTAGGCTCTTTAGACATCATTACAAGATGAACTAGACCTTCAGGGAGACAGCTTAGTCACTAGGGTAGGGACTGTATTATGAAATTCTAACCCAACTTGTTAAACCAGACTGTGGTTCTATTTTGGAAGGAGAGCTGTAGAGTGAAAATAATATAAATATAACAGACCCTAACTCTTGATCTGAGTAAGTATTTTTATTCTGTCTGGTCTATTTTGTCAAAATACACCAATATTTGACACTATGGTAAAACTTAAGTGAGAGGTTTTCTAGAGGGAAAAAAATACCATATATGTAATTTAGATAATAACATCAAATTAGATCAACAAATGCTCAATGCCCAAAAGGGATTGTTAAAGGGGGCAGGGAGAGGCTGGGCGCGGTGGCGCATACCTGTAATCCCATGGCTTGGGAGGCTGAGACAGCAGGATCATGAGTTCAAAGCCAGCCTCAGCAATGGAGAGGCGCTAAGCAACTCAGTGAGACTCTGTCTCTAAATAAATACAAAATAGGGCAGGGGACATGGCTCAGTGGTTAAGTGCTCAGGAATTCAATCTCCAGTACCTGCCCCAAAGGGGGGAGGGCAGTCCATAGCATCCAAATTCACAACTCAACCAAATAATCTTCTTAGTTCTTATAGTATCTGACTATATAAAGTCAAGTGGCTCAGGAGAATTGGTAATCAAAGTCTTATGATTACAGTACATATACTTTCAAACACATTAACAAGAATTTAAAACATGGAATATATTTTCTTTTTACTGGATCTCAAAATGGGATAAGACCCAAATAACTTGCTTTGCCATCATAACCAATTTCCTGCGTTAGCTTTTTCATTTATTCTAATAGACTACTTAATTACAGTTACAGATGAAATTCTGGTAATTTATCACAGGTACTCAGTATTATACACTTTCTGTACTCAGACTAATCAGAATGTTTAGCAGCACTAAGGATTATTTCAGAAATCAAGTTCTGTAGTTTGGAATTAGATTATTCTAATTTTATCCAAATTTCAGTCTCCATATTTGAAAAATTAAGTGGTACAATGAGACTGAGATAATGTCTAAAAGTCTTGTTTAGCGCTGAAACCACAGAATCTTTAGAGACCAGTCTTTCATCATCCCATTTCATAAATTTCTTGTAGCTAAAGCATTTCCTATTGCTCATTCCCTACTGAGGGCCCCCCTCCTTATTCTTCTCTAGCAGCTGTATTAATCCCTTCAGCTGCTAAAATCAGACAGGTGGGGAGAAAGAACCACAAAGTTTTCAACTGTAAACAACTTTAACTCCAAAAAAGGTGAAAGAAATCGCCCTTGAAATTTACAAAAAACACAGGATAGAGATTATAACCTTAAGATTCCCTTCATTTAGTTCGCACAACTGACCCAGCAACACTATCATTTTACATCTTTCCATTGCCTCAGTTTTCTAGAGATGTGTTTCAACCGGAATTAAAAACTTGCCTTCACACAAGATTTTACACCTATTAATTTCAATGGTGAAGATCAAAGGGAGCATTTATTTCAATGCTGGGTTCCAGACAATGGCCCAAGCATTCAACAAATATCTCAGCATCAACCCATAAAACAAGTTAAACCAACCTAGGACTCTGGGGCTCATAGGACACATTTACCACCAGCACATACCTCATCAGACATGTGATAAAGGCACAATGCCAAGCTCTGCTATCTAAAACCTTGATGCAACTTGCTGGCTGGGACTTCACAAAAGCTCAGGTCTCCTTGGGCGGCCTGTGTGTCATCCAGTTCTAATAGTAAGAATCACTGATCCCCCTCCCCACTCAATCTTCCCAGGAGGTGGCAGTTGCCACAAATCTTGATACAATTTTTATTCCTGCTCCCTAAATAAGTCCCTCCAGAATAACAAGTTCTCCTTTCTGGTAAAGCTACAAAACCATCGTAGCAAATTAGGTAGAGATATACTCTTCTTTGTCACTTTACTCACCAAATGGTGTTAAGAGTCTATCTTAATTAACAGCAACGAAACTATAGGAACCTACCTGTCTCAGCTTGGGGCTGTGGCAACTCCTGCTCTGTAGCAGGGACGGTTTCTGTGGCTTCACCGGGCATTTCTGAAGGAAGGGAATAAAAAGGAGGCCTGAATTGACAGGGGTGCACTTGCCCAACTCAGAATCAACTATTAATAACTCAACGGAGGATTGTTAAATGGGGGGAAAAAATCATGAAAATGTCTGAGGACCACCCTTCCCAAAGTTACTAAGAATAGGTGGGAAAAGTGACCCTCATATATCTATAAAGCGAATCACCTGAGTACGCTCCGCAGAAAGCAGACTTCCCAGTGCTCAGGGTTCGTTGTATTCCACACTCTTGATCCCACAAGACCAGGAATCACCTTTGCATTCTCAACCCGAGAGAGAGGATCCGGTCTGACTCCCAACCGTTTAAAACCTCTGACGTACTTTGAGCCCCCTCCCCTTTTAACATTTACGCTACCTGGGCTCGGGCCCCCCAGGTCTTCTGAGAGCCGGGAGACGAAAGAGGACGCCTCGGGTCCCAACACTCCCCTTCTCACAATAAGAACGGTGTTTAGGGTTCTGAGGCTGTGACCCCTTAACCTCCTCTGGATTTCTGCGAAGCCGTTCCCAAAGACACACTCAGCTTTTGCCCCCAAGACTACAGTGACTCTTATATTCCCTCCATACCCGGGTTCTGGGCCTGGCCCGTAGGACCCTTATGCCCCTTTTTTGCCAGGACACCAACTACAGACCCCCCTTTTCTCCGGAGACCCAGCGACTAGTAGGAACCCTGTAACTGTACAAAGACGTCAACTCTCCTCAACTCTGAATCCCCCGGGCGGTTCAACCCGCGAGAAACGAGGATGGCGGTGGATGGAGTAGCGGCGCAGACAGCACTTACTGTGCGGAGAACGCGATACCAAGATGGCGGCAGAAAGAGAGCGAGCAAGTGCGTGACCCACGCCTGTTGCAGAAGGAAGCCTGGCGCGGAGGGGGCGGGGCCACGATCCGATTCCGGGTCAGGAGCTGTTGGAAGCCACTTCCTTTATCCAATGACCCTGAGGGCTGTTTCTAGGGCGGGGGTGGTGATGAGTTCTAAATAAGGGTAAGAATTTAGAACCCGACACACTGGCCTGGCTGGAGCAGTCCTCGTGGAGCGAGGCAGCCCTCAAACATCCCGCCCCTTCCTTTCCAGCGAGCGTGTTTGCTTCCCGAAGGGAAACCATAGAGAAGCTCCGCCTACGGGTCCGCAAAGTAGCAACAGCTGTTTTTTAAGATTTCCCCTACTCAGAAGCAGGGAAACGCGACATTAATTAATAGCGAACTCCAGAGATTGTATTGTCACCATTGTAAAGTAGACATAACATAAGTTAAATCTCAATTATTTTATTTTTAAAATAGACGATTTGGGACGTTGACGTCAGATTCCTCTACCCGGCGCAGCGGGGATTATAGGCACATACACAATTCTTTTTGCTTTTTTGGGGGCGCTTCTTAAATCTGAAACTCGTCCATTCTAAGGGCCCGGGATCCCTTGTTAAGAATCCGTGCTCTGTACAGGGATCTTGAGAAGTAGAATGTAAAATCAATGTTTTGTTAATGAAAAGGTTACTTAACTCCATACTATTTTCTAAGCTCTAAAAAAGGACAAACCAAACACAAACCTAAATTATCCAAATCAGCTAACCCTATTTGGTATAATGGTTGAAGACGATTATGGCTGACTTTTAAGAGAAGCAGTGAGAATTTAAAATGGGGGAAGAGGGAGCGGGCGACCACTTTTCCTTCTGAGCTGAGTTGTGCACACCTGTAATCCCAGCGAGGCAGGAGAATCAGAAAAAACTGGAGGCCAGCATGGGCAACTTGAGAGACCCTGTCTCAAAATAGGATTAGAATGTGGTTCGGTGGTAGAGCGCCCCTAGGTTCAATCTGAGATTATTGGGCAGAGTGGCACAAAAACCAAGGGGGAAAACAAAAGTCGTGTATATGCTTATAATCTCCCCACTCCCAGGAACCTAATTTCAACATCGTCCTGAAAATAGTTGGGATTTAACCTAAATCATTTCTACTTTTCAATGGTGTAATCCCAGTGTTTGGGGAGCCTAAACCAGGAAGATGGCAAATTCTAGGCTAGACTCGGCAATTTAGTGAAACCCTGTCTCAAAAAATAAAAAGGAAAAAAAAAAAATTAAAACAAAAAAATAAAGAAAATAAAAAAATAATAAAAAGGGCTGGGGCCGTAGCTCAGTGGTAAAGCGTCCCTGGGTCTAGTAGCCCACCCCAAACCTCTACTATAGTGAAGTGAGGATTAGGATTAGTGGACCAGAATTAACCCAGATAGCAGAATTGACCAGGAACAATTTGGAAATTCTCAGGAGAGGCTATTGTGGACTGATTAGAACAGACTCAGATTTTCAGTGTAGTCCACTTACCTTCAGAAGAAAAGTGAAAAACTGGCCAATTATCTCCTTAGACAAAACTACATATTGAAGAAAAAAAAAAAAATAGCATCTAGTATGTGAGTAGATGGGAATAAACTGCTATTTTTTTTTTTTCCCTCTCTCCATGAAAATGCCATTATTTAGCTGGTTGTGGTGGTGCATCTTTGGGAGGCTGAGACAGGAGGATCATGAGTTCAAAGCCAGCCTCAGCAATGGTGAAGTGCTAAGCAACTCAGTGAGACCTTGTTTCTTAAAAAAAAAAAAAAAAAAGAACAAAACCCCAAACTACATATTGACCATTGCCCTGTTTTCCTTAGCAAGCCCATGGACTTAACAAAAAACTCTATGTCCTAATGAATAGCTAAGGAAGGATGTACTTTTTCTTTGGGTTTCTTTATAAACTGGAAAGTTTTAAAGATTTTAGATGCTGTTTCTGTGCCTTTGGTTTCTACACTTCTATCAGTGGATTGGCAAATCAGGGAGAAATGAAGTCAGTAGACTTTGATCATGTTTCTGTTCTCTTCATGAACCAAACATTTACTTTTTTTTTTTTTTTAGAGAGAGAGAGAGAGAGGGAGAGAATTTTTTTTAAAAATATTTATTTTTTAGTTTTTGGCGGACACAACATCTTTGTTTGTATGTGGTGCTGAGGATTGCACCCGGGCCGCATGCATGCCAGGTGAGCACCATACCGCTTGAGCCATATCCCCAGCCCTGTAGTTAATAATTTTAATGGGCTAGTATGTCAGCTTTATCCCAGGGCTTTAATATTAAAGCATTAAAAGCATTAAAATACTTTACTGAAGATAAAACCATAATGGAAGCTTAACATGTCTCTGATTGAAAGCACAATACTGTCTTTCTACTTTTTTCTTTTCTTGTACTGGGGATTGAACCCCCAGGCACTTTACCACTGAGCCATGTACTCAGCTCCTTTTTATTTTGTGACAGGGTCTCCTGAAGTTGTTGAGGCTGGTCTTGAATTTGTCATTCTCATGCCTTATTCTCCCCATTAGCTGGGATTTTGGATATGTGCACTGTGCTCACTGTATCCAAGAATTTTGACTGGCTAGTTTTAGAATTTGAAGACTGAATGATCCATAATGCACAGCTCAAACAATGAGGAATTTTGCACAATATTCTTTTTAATATTTAAAAAAGTAAATATTAAAAAATATAAATATTAAAAATATAAAAAGAGAGGAAGAAATACAAAGCATTTTGGTTGATTCCACTATAGTCTGTTTTATATAAATCAAAAGAAAAAAAAAGATTGTATGACTGACTATACAGGAAACAATGTTAAATGAAATGTAAGGAAATTTTCATGACATCATAGAAGCACTAGCTTGACAGTTTGCTTCTCAATATTTCTCAGAAGACAGAATCCTACTGTGTAGGATTCCTTGTAAAACCAAGAGAAATCTGATACTTTAGAAGCCACCACATAATACCTGAAACAAAACTTAAAATTTAATTACCTAGATATGTAAAAAGTCCAAGTGCTTTAACAATTACAACAGGTTTTATTTATTTATTTGGTACTAAGGATTGAACCTAGGAGCGCTTACCCACTAAGCCACAATAACAGCCCACTAAACTTTTTTAAAAAAAATATTTATGTTTTAGTTGTAGTTGGATACAATACTTTATTTATTTTTTTATGTGGTGCTGAAGATTGAACCCAGGGCCTCATTCGTGCTAGGCGAGCTTTCTAACGCTGAGCCACAGCCCCAGCCCTAAACTTGTTCTTTATGGTAGACTAATTCAGTTGCTCTCTGAGGGAAAAAGTAGGAGCTACAATTCCCAATAGTTGCACAAAATACTATACTTGGCCCTAATAATTTTCATCTAATAACTCCTATCTTTGGAACTGAAGTTTTGGTAGGTTTAAATGCCCAGTTTAAAATAATTTTTAAAAAGACAGGCAATATCAATATAAATATAAATAAACAAAATTAGAAAGTGATTGAATATATACTCTAGGTATAATTAACAAGTGTCCAAGACTTAAGGACAAAGCTGTCATTTACCCCATAATATAGAGGCAATATCCAGTGAGATGAAATGGAAGTATATTACTGTTCACTTACCTCTCTATATGCCAACTGGTAGAACTATTTGTGTCAGAAGCTTTGGAATTATCTTTCTATAATATTAAATTTCACAAAAATTATCTGCATTTCACTTATTAATTGCTTTAAGTTCCTTTCACAAACTTTAACAGGAGTCTTTTTAGTGGCCTCAGGGAATCTTTTCAACATAAATTATTTCTCAAGAAAAGGAAATTCTGCTGTAAGCATTAAGACACATACATGGTTCTGCCATATTTATTAAATGACTCTTCAAGTATTTGATTCTTGCTTGCAGGTAGACCATTTGTTTGAGGGGAGATGTTATCTTCAGAAAGCTTTTTGTAAATCTAAAATAGAATAGATTTTTATCAGAGGATATAAAGGAAAATAAAACCCATTTATTTTCACATTCCGATTTTCTTCATGCTTCCATTAAATTCACATCATGGATAAAGATTTGTTTTCACATTTGCTGAAGTCCACATTACAAGCTGAACCAGTATGGAATGAGAATCTAAAGGGTTTATTAGAAGGCCAGATGGAATGGCACTTCAACAAGGCTTTTTCAAGTACGGTCATCACTGTTCATTCAACAAGCACATATTTGAATATCTACTATGAGTAAAACATTATCTTAGGCACTTCTTAATTAAACCAATACACATTTTATTAAATACTGATGTGGAGACTAACGGTGTGGCTTAGTGGTAGAGCATTAGCCTAGCCCTCAGTACCTGCACACTCCCCCCACCCCCCCCAAAAAAAATGAATTGGAGGAGTTTATATTTGTTCTCCTGAATGGTCACTCTGCTTTTCTTCCTTTTGGCTTACACACTGTGAGGTCTCTCCTGTTCAAGGAACTCCTCATTTAATACTACTATCCTCTTTGTACCTTCTTCTAGTTACTATGTCCAACAGAATTTTATCAGTACCTTAATCATTAGATAACTTGATAATTTCCTTGAAATTTTCCCCCTGACTTCTGTGACACTTCCATCTTTCATCTTTCTACTTCCAAGTCTCAAGGATGGTTAAAGTTTTTGACTTTTTTGAGAACTTTCATAAATGCCAATAGCCTACCTGGCCTCCTTAGACTCTATTTTATTCCTGATCATCTGCCCAGATTTACTCTTGTAGCTAGAACTACAAATCATGGAATTCCCTTCCTCAGAAGCCTTTGATAACTTTCCTGTTTCTATTTGTAAGCCCAAATTCCTAAGTCTGAAATTCAAAACTGTTTATGCTTTGGCTTGAGCCTGTCTTCAGATTTATATCCCTTTCCTAACACTTTTTTTTTTTTCCTGCCAGATTAGCTGTGCTATGCTTTGCTACCTCTGCCTGTGCTTTTGCTGCTACTTCAAGAATTAACAACCCTGGGCCAGGCATAGTGGTACATGTCTGTAAATCCAGCTATTCAGGAAGCTGAGGTAGGAGTTACAAATTTGAGGCCAGCCTGGGCAATTGGTGAGACCCTGTCTCAAAATCAAACAAAAGGGGTTGGGCACATAGCCATAGGTACTTGGCAAAGCACCCTCTGGTTCAATCCCCAGTACATTAAAAAGAAAGGGAAAAAAAACCAAAACTCTGGGCTGAGGAATGTAGTTCAGTGTTAAGAGTGCCTGCCTA